AAATTTGGTGGCCTGGGTTAAGTACATGTGTATGTAATGAAATCAATCAAGCCCACCACACATGGCCATTTGCAGCCAGCCTAGCAGGATTTGCACTTTTTGAGGCCAAAAAACTACATATACATGTAGTTCTGCTTCTAGTTATGCGACTGATCCCAAATTTTCGGAGCGACTAAACCTTTACATCGGTCAGTTTGAAAAACACAGTAAAAAAAAAAATCTTTCTTCTCTTCACAAAACACCTCTCAACAAATTTTTTTCACATCTAAACGCTTGTAGTTTTTGTTTGCCTGCATAGATTTGAAACATATGGAAAGAAAGTTCCGTTATTTTCACAAGTTCCCTTCTTTCACTATTGCGGTGGGGAAAATGCGCATGCAGCTTCACTGCTTCTCGCCACACCACTGCCAAAGAAGGTGTGATGATAATGCGGCAGTTCATGCATTCCTGTCAAAATACTGTTGTACAGTTCACAGTACTCACACGCAACACTAAAGCTGCTCATCCAAAAAAAAAAAGACACATTTCTACAAGTTAACTCCTTGAACTTGATCTGTTGTCTATATATGCATGTTTTGTGTTCACAAATTTAATTCGAGGTTGTATTGCTTGTTCATGTACTTAACAATTGGCCTGATGCAGACTCGACACGACATGACCTGTAAAGGTTTCAATGGTGTCCATGGGAGATAAGGTTAAATTGACATTGTTTGAAAATGATAAACCGCCAACATATCAGTACTCGGGGTTATATATGCGTGACCGTACAATGAACAGAATGTCGTGGGTATGTGGCACATGAGCCCAGGGCAATGACAGCCGCTCATCCTGTGGAATTATACCGTGAACTTGAAAGTGTTGTGCCGGTGATTTGCAACATGAGTCATAAAATGTGATGAAAGTTTTGAAAATATGGCAATGTTCCTTAGATGACCACTGTCCTTCAGGGCCATCATTTTTGGAGAATGCAGTTTTGACCCTAAGGTTTGAAAAGCATTGATACCGTCTGGTACGAGTATTTATCCCACCACAACTAAACCATGCACAATGATGCAGAACGGTAGTGCTGAACACCCGACTATATGTGGCTCATAAGTGTAACACATGTACATGCACATAATGTATGTATGGTATGCACATGCTTGTGGGAACGTGCCCGCAGTCAGCTCTCCAGTTCTGCACATGCATTAACGGATGTACATGTACAGTATGTGCATAAAAAAAACATAACGACTTCACTCATTGCATCTAGCCATCTTGTTCATGAAAAAAGAAAATCAAATTTGAGAATAAGTAGCACAAAAATCTTGTGTTGTTTCCCACACTAACCAAGTTGTTCTCCACACAAGTCGAATTGAGAAGGGAAATTTATCATTTTTTGTTATTTATTTTATAATTTATATATTTACTAAAACATCAAATTCTCACGGTAAAAGACCGAATTGTACCACACATATAAAAACTTTTTAAAAGACAACAGAATTATTAATTAGAAAGATACCAGTAGTTATACATGTACATCGATACAAAAATTATGTTAAAAATTTTGCACCCAATTCTGTGGACAGCTACATGTAGGTGTATCAATATTACATGTGTGACACGTGCATTTGCAACACTCAAATGACACTGGTTCGGGGGTAGGGGAAAGGCATGTGTCAATTGCTGTAATGGATTTTAGCATTGAGCCAAACAGTGTGTGGTACATGTACGTACACGTACATGTAGTGGTCCACACTGAGCAAGGTGTTAACAGTAAAAATTATCTAAACTTGAAAAATATTCACTGAAGATTTGTTCAAACCAAACCACAAACTAGTACCTACAAAGGACAGACTAGTGGAACATTACATGTACATGTATAGTGTACTTCTTCACGTGTAAAACTTTCGAGCACATGTACATTAACTTTCAAGTCATTATCAAGACTTCCAGTCCTACATGTACATGTAAGTAAACATATTGAATTATGGATACAAACAGTGGAACCTTTGACCCCTTTGCGCCGGGACGCAGATTGAGCCACCGTAAAAATTGAGATTCTCAGCCCGCTTTTCAGCTATTGCTCTCGGCCCACGCTTGAGCAAACACGGTGAAAGAAGGCAGACCCTGGCTCTTGTATATATGGTAATTGGTCTTTGTGCGTAGCCCAGAAATGAAAAGACCGAATTTGCATCATAATCACCAGCTTCACAATAGTCCCCACTTTGAAAAGAGGCAACGGGAAAGTGGAAACTTGAGTAGAGCTGGCCACATAATTTGTACTAATACTTACGTATACAGGTACATTTACAATGTACCGGGCGGCGGTACCGTACATGTTCTCAGAAGTTGTTAAGTCAGTAGTGTAGTACTATTGTTTTTAAAGTTTGATACACATTTTGCGAACTTACATGTAACCACCTTAACCCATAGCTGAATGTAACATCTAGAGTACACAATGAACATGGTACATATACCGGAACATTGCAGAACACAATATTCTAGAAACTTGAAAAATTTGCCAGCCAATAAACCCCTGTCCATACTGTACATATGTACATGTTTCATGTCAAGAGTATTCTGACACAGTATTTTACCCTGCAAAAAGATGATCGCCCCTAAAACCCCAGCTGAAAGTAAATTGTGAAGAGAACCCTACTACTATCACAATTGTAGTACATGGTACATGTACATGTACATTAATACACGTATGTGTACATACACATTCCACAGTTTGTACCCTTTACACCTGCCATACAAGAATATAAGTGAGAATGAGACTGCTGCAAGGGAGTTTTCATCTGTCATACGTATAATGATTTAGAAGGAAACAAATGCCCTGCATACACGTACAAGTGTCTACAATCACAGTTTGTAAATTATCCAATTTCAAGGGGTTTCAAAGCTGAGAGAGTTTGTGGGGTTCAATTATTCATGTGAGACATTTTAGGTTGAAATTTATACGGAACATGACAACTGAATAGAATTATATATAACAGGTTTTTTGCCCTTACCCAACGTATATTAATAAGCACTGTATGCTCAGTGCTTGTCCGAGAGCTTGCGAAAAACTTTACAAGCTTACTCGGGTGGGACTCAAACCCACGACCTCCTGCTTACTAGTGTAGATGTCTTAACCATTCGACCACCGAGCTTGCCAGGGTCGGCTGGCCGGTCCGAGTCAAATGAAGCAGCGGGTACCGCAAACTATTTTCAAGATGTATTTCTTTGCGTTGGGGAGATGTTAATTATATATAACGGGTTTTTGCCCTTACCCAACGTATATTAATAAGCACTGTATGCTCTGTGCTTGTCCGGGAGCTTGTGAAAAAACCTTACAAGCTTACTCGGGTGGGATTCGAACCCACGACCTCCTGCTTACTTGTGCAGATGTCTTAACCACTCGACCACCGAGCTTGCCAGGGTCGGGTGGCCGTTCCAAGTCAAGATGTATTGTATGTAAAAAAAAAATCTTGAAAAACTGAATAGAATGTTTTTTTCTGAAGCCTCACTGATGGATTGTTACATGTAGATCAAATTGTAGTTTCAGCCCAGACAGTCAGTGGTGGCTGTATTGAATGTTCCAGTTCCGTTCAGACCCAATATAAATCAATACTGATAAGTCTTAGTCTTAGACTGTACATACATGTACACTGTACACCAACTGTACATGTACATTTGTGTGGGCAACGTCATTTCTTATTCTCACAAGGGAGATTTTAAAAGAGGGAACTTGTGGACAAGGCTAATACTGTATTGATTTTCCTTGACAGTCTATAGCCTGGGAGTTGTCATTAAATTCTTCCTTTGCATGTACCGGTGTAAGAGGAGTTTAGGTTGACACACACAAAAACTTTCCATAAAGCTTCCATCTTTGTGTTTGGGGCTTGGATTCCTACCCAGATAATGGGGAAATTCTTGATGAAATTTTGTCGTATTTCTGTAGGCCGGTATTTATGTGTAAGATATTCCTCTATAAAGCTTAAGATTGCAGTGCATTACCTGAACCTAGACATTTGGGGCATGGAAGGTACTGTACAGTACCAGCTGGAATGAGTACATATGTACATGTACATATACATGTACATTATAATCAAGGTCAGGTTGTCCAAAAAAAAAAATCAACGACAAACATACATGTACAATTCAAGGATTAAACACAATGCATGGATGAAAAACAATATTTTATAATTTTTTTCCCTGGGATAGCCTCAAAAGCCAATTACACTGTACCTTACATGTACTTTGCCCATTTTAGTTCCATAAAATTGTTGATATACTTGTACTTTCTTTATCAGTCATTTTCACTGATGGTAAAAGTTCTCACTTTGCCATTGTTGGAGTTTGCATAGATTCGAATGGATACCATACATGTTCACCTGTACTTATGTTTGAAAATGTTACAATATGGCTGTTTGACTCAAGCAGAAGTGTCAACTGTCACACATCTGTCAATTGTTACACGTTCATTGTATGCATCCTAAAATGCATTATTGTCACCTTGTGCAACTTACATACATGTACACCACAGTACGCGTAGAAAAGTTCATGTTGACCTTTACCATGTACATACCGGTACATGTACACAACTACACATGTATCGGTACATGTATGGTACTTACAACTTACATGTACATGTACAAGCATATTCAGGAAATTAATCCATTTCTATCAGTTAAAGTTTATGAATCAGTTCAAACTGTCATCACTTTTGATCATACCGGTAACATTTTCCTAAGATTTGTTCATACATGTGTGCAATGCATATCCTTATTAAATGTAACAAATCATTGAACTTATGGTTTTTGTGAGAGTGAGCATAAAAGGTCCATTTAAAAAATATACTAAACAAGGGCTTGCCTGATAAAAACAAAATCTACATCTACATGTACATGTACCGTATCTTGTCTGAAATTAATTAGGGCCAGGCTTCACAAACAAAATTAACTTGAGTTTTTCTCCAGTGATCTTTCAATGCACTGAAGTGTGTACATTTGTCCGTATGCTTTATATTGTAGAAGAAGCGTGATGAAGAGAAACCGCCACCAATCAAAGCGCGCAACACTTGGGACAGCGTGGAGGAGACAACAGACATGGCCCCCCAGGACCGGCGCCGCCCGTTCAGCCTACAGATAGCACCCACAGATGCATCCCCAGACACCAGTAAGTTCCCATCCATCAATGTACATGTACATGTAGACAATTCACAATAATAATGTGCAGCTAAGCGGTTACCATGGAGGGACTCTACATGTACCTCTCCAGCAATGCTTCATGCTGAAGTATACATGTAGGTACGTGTATCATCACATGTTGCCATATCAGCATCCTGATTGCCTGATCTTATCTCTCCTAGACTACGGAATGGCCGGCTCTTATCGTCAAATCCATCTTGATAAACTGAAGAGGCAGTCATTGGCTGCCTACCCGGGCTCACGAGGGAGCCCTCATGATGACCAGCAAGGGAGCTTGAGTGCACCAGCCACTGAGAGAGGTAAGCTTATTTTTCCTGTGCAATCTCCACTCAGAGAGGACAATAATGGCTAGACATCAGGCATTTACATTATTTGTTTGATACACTCACATGTCATCTCATCTGATCTTAATAACTGACGCACAAAACGCTAATGATGTCTGAGCTCCTTCTACACATTTATCTAATTTCACCCCCTGTTAACTATTAAATTGGCTTAATGTGGATGGAGCGAAGTTTCAGTATATTAAGTGGATACTTCAAGTCACTGACAGAAATTGAAATTGGCAGACAAACACACAGAAATTCCCCAAGCCTGATGTGTATGTTTTTGTTAAGTGGCATTGTGCTGGAGTCGAGAACCTGCAGGGAGGACTTGTTTCGACACAAAGCCATAAAACGAAAAAGAATGTCACGGCTGATAAAGATCTTGCTTGCCAGTTGTCATCGGAGCGTGGGTGATACAGCATTCATAAGCAGGCTGCATCCATTTATCTGTTGTTCACATTGTACATGTACAGAACACTTCCTCTTAAGGTTGCTCTTAAACGTGTTAAGAGTCCCAGGACCTGATACAGACTGTAAACAGCATTTTCTCCATGCCTTTATTGCATGCAGTCTTCCCATTCTGCTGCAGTCTACAAGTTAACCTTGAGAATGTGTTAGAATATGTTTCTTGGCCATTTGAATGAATCTGGTTCGGCATTTAACCCACAAGTTAATTCTTGTACATGGTTTAATCATGGCAGGGCAAGTGGTAAAGAGGACTAAAAGTGTTCTCAACATTATTTTTCCCAGACAAAAAAAAAAAAATTAAATGGCTGGTTTAAATAGCTGGTTTTCAGATTTCTGAGCTACTAAGTTAATATGGTACAGGTACGTGTAACTGTTAATATCACTGACCTTTAATATTGATAAGACTGATTAATATTGATTAACCTTGACAAGATGCTTAAATGCACTGGTCTGTGGTCTATAAACTTATATTTTAAATATTACGTTTTTTAAGAATAACATACATGTACATGTATACTGTATGAAGCCCATACTTTTTCTCTGCACTGCTCGGCTCCCAGATTGGAGTCCCTGGCGCATCAAGGAGGACAGCAAGCCTGAGGACGACAACCATTTTGGTAAATGGCTCAGACAAAGCTACTGATTCTCTTGCCTGAGTGTGAAGTGTGGATTCATAACTCTACTAAACCACATACATGTACACAACACTCCCTTGTCCCCATCCCTTCCACTGCACGTCATTGTCATGGTCAAATTTTCTTTTGAAACCTAAAACTTTCAGAGTCATATTATGCATCAGATTACCGACTGGTGTCGGGTTGTTTGCATTGTGGGTAATTCCAGAAATTAGGGGTCCATTTTTTTTAGTGTCCCTGTCACATCTGACATATGATTTTGTAAGTTCAGACACGTCAGAACACAGTTTCTAATTTTCAAGAGTGATGAATTAATGCAAATTACCAACACGTACATATACCAGTACCTAACAAAAAGTAATAGTTTGAAATCAATTCCAGTGATTTCCACATCAAATAACAAAAGTCAGATATAACAGGGACACAAAAATGTCACACTTTTAGACCCCTAATTCCTGGAATTACCCATGTACATGTACTGTCACTTTAACAGTTGTTCCATTATGAAGTTTTCACCTGTATCTTGGAGCCAGCAGAGAGATTGGGAAATAAAATGATCAGATTTTGTAAAAGCAGATTTACATTTTCATGATATATAACAACAAACTATTTGCAGTTGACTCTCATAACAAAGTTGCAGGGACCAGACAAATTACAGTACTTTGTTATAAACAGGAATTTGTTACGTATACAGGTACATTTACAATGTACCAGTACCGTACATGTACGTGTTCTCAGAAGTTGTTAAGTCAGTAGTGTAGTACTATTGTTTTTAAAGTTTGATACACATTTTGCGAACTTACATGTACATGTAACCACCTGAACCCATACCTGAATGTAACATCTAGAGTACACAATGAACATGGTACATGTACCGGAGCATTGTAGAGCACAATATTCTAGAAGCTGGAAAAATTTGCCAGCCAATAAACCCCTGTCCATACTGTACATATGTACATGTTTCATGTCAAAAGTATTCTGACACAGTATTTTACCCTGCAAAAAGATGATCGTCCCTAAAACCCCAGCTGAAAATAAATTGTGCAACAAATAATGGTTAATTAATGCTCGTCTCCTGTCCGCTGTGCGCAGCATCCATGATTGGGCAGTGGTCAGAGGCGTGTGCGATACGGGTCAGCTTCACGCCTGGGTGACCCCTCGCAGTTTTGCCTTCACCCAAAACCACACGATTGTTCTTGACTCTCCCCTGAACTCCCCTGTTTTTCCTCGACGCTGGCTCGTTCTCCCTCCATAGAAATTCTTCGAGGGGAGGCATTTTGTTTGGAGGGACTCACGAGGCCTCGACCCTCGAAAGGTACTTACTCGCGGATGCCGCTGTACACGTTTTTAATTACGATGGGTTGGCTCGTGTTATCAAACTTACTGGGAGGATTTGGAATGGTCAACATAAATGGCAGTCCAAGTTGTTTTCCCACTGCACAAGTGACGGATTTCTGTTCAAATGAAGAGAGTGGTACATGATGAACATTAGCTGTCAAATTACTGGAACTTCATGTACATGTACATGAACCATAGGACACTCACTGCATCTGTCACTGTGAGTAGTGTCTCACTACATTTAGGCATTATCATTTTGTGAGGACTGTTTGTTGACATGTGTACTTGTACATGTACATTGTAGCTGAATCCCTGGTACTCCTATCGTTACGTGACATAAACTGATAACAGCGTCCAGCTTTCATGATTTGTTCCATTTTGTTACAGAGCTGAATGGCAAACTGAAGTTTTCCTTTGTTTACACTCAGAAGACAATTTGAAACCTGTGCATGTGTGAGGATATGTGTATGCAACCAAAATCTAGGAATTTTGGAAAAATGGGAGTATTTAAGGTTATTTTCTTCACAAGACATGCATGTACATGTACCAGTACACACCTATTTGCACATGTACGTCATCACCTTTACAAAAAATTCTGGCTAACTTTTAAAGTTTGATACATTTGCTTTCCCCTAGCGTACACATTTTTACCTACTCCGCCCAGTCTACATGTACATGTATCATTGGGCTGTTACAGGTACATTTATGTCCCAAAGAAAACTTCCCAATTGAAGAAATCCTTGGTCACATCAGGTTAATTACGTGTACATGTACAGTAGATCTTGTGACAAACTCAAGAGAGAAACTCTGTAGGCACACACTTACCTTACAAACATGTACCTAGTGTGGACATTCCTTCTTTTCATGCAGTTAATAAAACTTAGTGAAAATACTTGTTTTTCTTGAACTGGGAACATAATTTTCAGGTTTCCTTGACTATTCCACTTCCTTTTATGACAGATGACCCCCCAACCCCAAAATGCCTCTAAACTTCTTTTTCAGAGAAGGGGAAACGTCCTGTGGAAATGTGTAAGTCCACAGAACGTCTTCCTTTCCTGCATTGTATGGACATCTTTTGTTCACAAGTCCACACTAAGTATGTAAGGTTAGCGCATTTACAGTGTACTGTACGTGTACACGCACATTGACAAACACCCATTACACTTCAAGAAAACAATAGATTATAGGAGCTAATGTGCATGTACGGCCAGTGTCATTACTTCATTTGTTGAGTCAAAATTGAGTCCCACTTTTTTGATACATTACTTGGGAAACAAATCTACTTCTGACTTGATGAAATTTTAGAAATCAACCTTCAACTTGACAAAGATATCTGACATATTGGCATTACCAATAGCTATTACTGGGGCAAATACCTCCTTTTTGCAAAACCAAACCCGTCTGTTTTTATTATTTCGATGTTTCATCATTAGAAATGTCATTAGACAAAACAAAAACACAATAAAAACAACAGAGAACTACAAACAAACCCTTGTTTTGACTGACATTAAAAAATTAAGCTGAATCAGCCATGGTGTTACGGTATTTCCGATTTCATTGTTCTGAAGGAAATCTTGAGTACTTGCATGTATATGTACCGGTACCAGTATGCTTTGCAGTGGCACTCTTCTGTAACTTGAAGTTAAAATCTATCAAGTAAATGCTCATATTGCCATGTGAGTATTTTTTTCCTCTGAGAGACAGTTTGTTGACAGAGACCTACATGTACAGTACATTGTCAGTGCCACAAGGAAGACCATTTGTTGACCAGAAACACTTGACTGTTAATATTTCAGTGTCAGCGCATATGAATTACATGTAGGTATGACACTTTAAGTGTTCGGCTAGTGAGTGTTTGTTTCAATTCACTGAAGGTTGTCTGTTACTTTAATGTACAGGGATAGCTTTCTGACTAGTCAAGGCCTCTGACATTTACCTTGAAACTGCATGTTAACAGCATGGGTATAGTCCTCAGAGAGTGCTGTCAGGGGCTTTGAGGGACATGATCACCGCGAGCTAGTGCAAAAGGTTTTGAATTTGTTGGTTAAAAGACTTTTCATTTTCCTCCATGTGTTGGCCTATGTATAGGTGGTCATGATCCTTTTGCTGGCAGCCCTGCTACCATCCTCAGGAAGCGTCCGAGCATCAGGCAGGACTCTGACGACCCCGAAGCTCGGCTGCCACCCACAGACAAGTACGTGTCCTCCTTTGGATCTGGCACCCTGAGGGAGAATGGGACGGTGGGAGTAGGGTCCAGAGGTTACCGGAAGAGCCTGTCCAACTCCTGGCCGGAGTCCCACTTCCTGCCAGACGAAGGGTCAAAGGGCAAGAAAAAGGTCAACCAAAGAGCAGGTAAGTGTTCATCTATTTCTTGCAGCACAGTTTAAGCTCAGCTCAAACAGAGTTGTAATTCTCCAAAAAAATGAATTGCCTTGTTAATGAAGACTTAAAAATCCATGCAAAGTACATAATTAAACCCTAATGTGGCACACTATCTTTGTTTACTTCTTGTGCCTTAATGGAGCAACATTTTTGTAGAGTGAGTGTGATTTTGCAGAAATCAGTATTGATTCCTCTGACTCCGCACCGCAGAGATCACACTGGTCCCCGTTCCCTACATACAGTAGTGCTCAGACGTCTCACGGCTTATAAATAAATCAATAGGGATGGGGACCAGTCCAAGATCACAGTAGCATGGTGCGTGCGTGGTGCGCGTGCATGTGTGCACACTGTACATGTACATATGCTGGTACACGCAACAGTTGTTCGTCTGGTGCCTGAACCTAATTTTACCTGAACCCTTCAATGGCCTGCATGCAAGAGTAAACAACAAAGCGTGCGAAACGACGAAGCGAGGAAATATGTTTCTATTGGCTGAAAGTTTTCTTCGTACTAGGTGCGATTGCATCGTTTTGGACTTTGACGGGATTGTTATTTTTTGGAGTGGATTTATTGCACTGTCACTCAGATTTTTATTCAGACTACATATACATGTATTTTCGAATTTCGGATAAATGTGCTTCCTGATGCAAGCTGCGTGCATATTTTGAGTTGACATTGTACATGTAAGTACTGGCAGTACGGTGTCTGCGTGAACTTTGAATTTCAGTGCATTGTAAACATTTTAATTCATCGTTGGATTGTTTTAGTTCAGCCTGCTTGCTATCAAAATGCCAAAAGAAGTGAAACAGAGTTCCAAATTAGGGGGAATTATTTTAAGAATTTAAGAGTTACTATTATGCTGACGGGGACAAACTGTTTTGTAGTTTCTGCAAGTTTACATACATGTACTGTGGAGTGGAAAAAACGTGACACAGTCTTGACTACTTGAAATTAAAAAGCATGTTGAAGCAAAGGCAGCTACAGGAGGTGCTAACTGGGATGGCAGCAAGCACTTCTGTGCAGAAGCATGGGAAATTTCAAGAAGACTTTGTTCGAATAATGACAACAGCCAACATTCCTTTGGAAAAGGTTAAGCAAATAAAACCCTTTTTCAAGAAGCACTGCAATCAGGAAGGATCGTTAACAACTGTTAATAATATTCAAACGACTTATTTGCCCCATGTGTTCAAGACTCGTGTTGATGTTGTCAAAGAGGAACTAGAGGGGAAAGTGATAAGTGTGATTGTAGATGATACTACAGATCACAGGGATAAGAGTATGCTGAATGTTGTGGCTCACTTGGACAAACTTTATCTTGTGGATGTTGTGCAACGCCAGGACACCAAGTCAAACAGTGTTGAAGGTGCTGACCAATGTTTGTGTCGAGTAGGATAATGTGTGCTCATAAACAGACAATGCTCCATACTGCAAGGTAGCTTTTAACATTCTGAAACATGTTCTGCCAAATGGTGTACATGTTGGCTGCATGGCTCACATCTTGAGCTTAGTGGGGAAGATCTTGTGAGGGGCGAATATTATCGTGAGGTGGAGGTGTTTGTCAATGACATCAAGAACATTTTCAAACGGCGACCAGCTAGAAAACGACATTACTTGGAGCACATGTCCAAAATGAATTTGCCTGAGAATGTGTCAAAAACTCTTTCACCAGAACCATGTGTCACACGATGGGGTACATGGTATCAAGCCATGCGGTATCACCACACCCATCTTGATGTGTATGCATCTTTTTTGTCCGAGAGGAAACTAGCACTGCCGGTAATGTTGTTAGGTTGAGAAATGCCCTAGACAAAAAAAAGTAGAGAATCCTTGGCACAGAAACTGAACTTCATCACACAGTGTGCTCCAAAGATACAGTACACTCAACAAACTAGAAGGCAATGAGCTATTTGCACCAGAGATGTACAACATTGTAGTAGATTCAACTTACCTGATGCAAGGATCAGCCAAGGTTCTGTTTGTTGAGATAACTGACACTTACCTTTCTAAACTGGACAAGAAAAGAAAGGATGAAGCCATCAATGAGTTTCATTCAAGCTTCCAACGGGCATTTGAGAAGCTTTCCAAGCATACTAATAATGCTGATGTGTTGGAGTTCTACAGAAAGTGTCACATTCTTGATCCGTGTCAAGTTGGAACCATGCCACAAGAACTTGAGAAATACAGCTCTCTACGAGGCTTGGACAACCCCCAAGACTCACTTCTACAAGAATGGGAAATATACTTACATGCTGCAAAGTAGGAACTTACAACAGATTTGGACCTGAACTATTTTTGGCAAGGTGTGATGTCACATTAACCACAACTGGCAAAGGTACAGTAGCAAAGGAACTAATCTGGCAGAAAACCACCTCTTTTGATGCACAGAGGACTCTTGTGAAAATCAAACCAACAATGCATGCAACTACAGTCCTACCATTCAGTCAATGGGAGGCGATCTTGGGCCAGGTGTCAGCTTCAGAATTGGGGACCACCGCCCACCACATCCGTGTCGAATATTGGTATGGTTGCGCACCACAAGCTCCGTTGGCCTTGGGAAAGTTGCCCACAGTGGACGAACTTGAATCTGATCTGCTACAATTGTCTGGTTGTGGACACTACTTCTACCATTTTAGCTGGAAAACGTCAGAAAAATAAGCACCGAGCGTGCACCCTCATGGAGGAATTACATTATACTTGCTGCCATGCAACATGTACACACAGCTGATTGACTATGCACCATGACATTACAAAATTGCAACATTGCAACATTGCAATATATGAATGTGACATTTAACAATTGTTGACTGCTGTGGTGTAGGATATGATGTTTTGAACACCCCAGGGACGCAAAGCAACCTGAGGTAAAGCCGAGGGTGCTATGTTCAAAACATCATATCCCACACCAGAGCAGTCAACAATTTTTTTTGTCATATCCATCTTCTGGATATAAGTATAGTAAAGGACATCGTCTGCAAGTGCACTGTTCCCTCACTTTCTTTAATTGCGTAATCTTTAATATGAAACTAGGGCGGTTACCAGTGAGTATGTGTAGTCTGGTTAGCATTCCCCACATTACCTTACATGTAAATGCAGCGGGGACGGGAACAAGTCTGTTATACGAGTGCAATCATTGATCAAATTCCCTGGTAGCCTACATGTACATGTATGCACAAAACGTGTGGTACCATGCAAAACTGACTAAAGGAGTAGAAATGCTCACTCTGAAACTTTCCAAAGCTCTTCTGTCTCGCGTGCGTACCTGTGCACGCACTGTCGGCAGAAAGAGATATCTCCCAGTGAGTACCGGTATGATACGTGGATATACATGTATTGCCTGTCGTGTGATTGTTCTGGGCCAATAAACGGACAGTATCCGAGACAGAGGTATGACGATTGACAATATTCAACAACAGCTCTCAAAAACAATTCACAGCTTTTTTTTTAAATAAGGAGCAAACAGTGTAGGTATTTTTATCAGTTCTGATTTTTTTACAGTTTTAGTCGAGCTTTTAGGAATATCTACTACATGTACTTTGCATGGTATTGTACATGTACGTGTACATGTATATTCTAGCCTCGCCAAGGTGATTTGTTGAGCATTTGATGAAAGTACATGTGTACATATAGCATGCTATGTATACAGTACATGGACCGCTGATTAGTTTGACTGTGTATGCACCATTTGTCAAAGCGGCCTATTTAATGTATATTTTATAAACATTGCCCATTATTTCAGCAAAAAAAAAGGTTTTCAACGACAAATATGCATAAGCAATGCATTCCCTTTTCCATTTGAAATTAATGAGAACCTAATACACACAGGCTTTTCTGAACTTTACCCTTGATGAAACATCTTCAAAATTGCATCCAAAAATAGGTGTAACATGACCATATTTCCATTTTAACATGAGTATATTTTATTTTCCTAGACACAATACTCTGGTTGGTAAAGGTGTAGTACTTTGGTTGCTGTGCTATTGATTTTCAAAGTGAGATTTGTGTTGGTTTGGAAAGGGGAGGGTTGAGTGAGTTGTGCAGTTTTATAGTAAATGCCGCTATAAAGCTGCAGAAACAGATGGGGGAATTGGTTGGTTTTTAGTAATCTCAAAAATAGTTTTGAGCTGAGTGTTTTTTGTTGAGCATCAGTTTTTGTGCACCTTTCATTCCTCTCTCCCTCTCTCCGATGTTCTCATTCTCCCAGATCCGCCAAATCTCCCAGACTGGTCCCCAGAATATGAACCCAAGAAATCCAAGGGTGCTGCCATGGCATCTCCCATTCCCCTCAAGCCTACTCTTGCACGATCAGCCGGGCGGAGGGGACAGGGGCGGACCATTTTGGACCCATTGGACCGGAACCAGGCTTACAAGGGCATGGACGACATCGAAGATTTGGATCTGTATGCTGATGACTTTGAATTGTCAGACGAAGACAGTGAGCCAGACGTAAGTTTCCCTTACAGCACATTTCTCTCTCAAATGAGAAAGGGATTGAAATGAAAATGATTCTTCCTTTCTTTCTTTTTTTTAACTTAACCCTAGTCCATTAGTGTCTTCCAAAGCCTTCGGGAGATTTTGAAGGAAATCCCGCCCAGTCGCTATCCACAGAGCATGATGTTCCTTAAAAATGGAGGTTTTTTAAAGGTGCAAAGAGTGTATCAGTTGTTTCCTGCTTAGTGAAAGATTTTGGAGGATTGCGGATGGTCCCTAGGAAAAGTGTCTTGGAAGTTACGGTTGGGTTAACTTAACACATGTTTCCGACAGGCATTCTAGAGTTGCACCAAACCAAATTAAAAGCCGATTTTGAATTAAGTACAACAAAAGTTTGATGTGGCGATCGTGTAATGTAATGAGTGCATAGTGTTGTGGTGGTAATCTACCTGTTCAAGATAAATTAGTCAAGCATGCAGTGTTCACATGTGCGCATGGTTGAAGCTGCCCAAAGGAATATATGCGATCACTGTGGCTAAGGCTGTCCACATGTGGTGGTATTGTTTACATATAGTCATGTGGGGTAGAAAAGGTCTGTACTGCTTCGTCACTCTTTAATGCTGTTATCCACTTTCTGTTCCAGGATTACGATGTGATTTTGGATAATTTTTGTCAAAGTTTCTGTGACTTCCTCTTTTTTTTTCAAAGAAATAATGTGTTGTGACAATTAATGTGAAATTGATCGGTTGTGAAGTACATGTACTTAAAGATGTGAAAGTCTAAAGCTGGCCAAATTTTGCACATATCCTGTGGCTCTGCTAGTGTTGCATAGCTCATGCAGAAGTTCACATCTTGTTAACATCTCACAGTCTCAAATTGCATGTGACTGGCCTGTGGAGGCTTATCACCTTGTAGGCTCATGTTCATGTCTGATAATGCACCAGCATTGTGTATATGTAAGCACTGAGAAGTTGCTCAACCATGCACTCTGATTAAGAAAGGCCACAGAGGGCAGCTGGGAATGAGCAGGAGGAGAGTGTTTGGGCCTGAAGGTACTCAGATGTTATCCGCTCATCTGCTGTGATAAGTCAGTATTGAGGGGCCATGGAGCAGGATGTTTTTTTTCTCCTTGAAAAGCACCTTTGTGACTAGCTTAAACCTCAGTTCCATCTTTTCATTCTCATGTCTTTTCTCAAGATTTATGGTCATTTTTTGTGTCTATGCTATACTGCATTTCAAAGGAAAACAGTGATGTGATCTCCGGCTAGGGCTTCACTGTCACTGCACCTTCGGCATTAAGGGTTGCTAGAATTTCTGTTTCTTACAGTGTTTTTCTCTTTGTAAATTGTTTGTGTTTGTTGTTTGGTTTGTTGGTAAGTAAGTAAGTACTGCAGCAGCCAGTCGGCGAAAATAACCCAACAGCAAATCTACTGGTACAAAGCCCCAGGACACCCTTAATTTCAGTTTGCCCTTTTTGCTTATGTCATACTGTAACAGCAGTAGCCACAATTGTTGAGCAACAGAGACTTTGACTCCTAAAATTACAGAGGGTCAGCGTGGCACAGTACAGGTGCATGTAGCTCTTTCTTCCCCTTCCACCTCTGCAACCTGGGTTCAAATCTCACCTGCATTCTTAGGTCAGCTGGTGAATTGGGTTCTCAGAACTTGCTTGATCCCATGGGCTTTCCTTGAATATTAATCAGTGTTACGTGCGGAGAACGCACGGCAGAAGAAAAATCAAAAGACGGGAACCAGGACACTAAAAATACAAGCAAAGAACAATAAAGGAACTAATTTGGAATAACATTTAATTATAAACTTAAATCAGCAAAGCAGTAAATTAAAACAAAGTACATGTAGATCTAGTGGTTTGCTGCAACTTAAACTTCTCATGCAAGAACACCGTGAATTTGAACAGTCAAAAGCATATAAGCAAATTATTTACATTAGCACAGCCCAGCATAAAAAAAGCATATTAATACGCAAAGAGGCAAATTATATTCCACCGAGTATAATTACCTCAACACAAGAGAGGAAGAAAATTAGGCCCCGCCCAGTCAGTGCCATGGCTAAAAGAGCGTGGTCGTCGGGCCAAGCACCTCCACACTCCGCGCCATAACAGCCCAGTTCAGACAGGTACATGTAGGTCCGTGTCGATCCCCGAGATTCGGCTTCCACATGGAGCCATGACACTCCAGGGCCCACGGTCCCTCAGCGGTGTTAGCCTTGGCCACGGTCCAGCGGTAAAGAGGAGAAGACGATGAGGAGGTGCTGACCCAACGCCGGCTATTTCGGAACGCACATGCTTAAAGCATATAGGCACTGACTGAGAGCGAAATCAATGACTACGGAGTCTTTTATAGGTTTTTTTTTTTGGAACATGCGTAAATTCCACACGTACCTTTTCAGGGAGACACAAAAGGATTTGGATCAACTGGGATCGTAACATCAGGGATAAGATTATTCCGCTTTTGGGACTTTCAAAATTTGCTTTTGCAAATAAGTTCCACCTTTTTGGACTGCTGGATACGGCGATTGTCGACTTAGAAATTCCGATATTTTAAACTTTTCCGACCCGTTTCATCAAGATAATTTTCAACTTCCAGGTATCAGATATGATATTATTGAGCCTCAATTTGTTGTGAAATAAGATGAAATTGCATTTCTCGTTACTTGCTTTCCATGTGTCACGTAATTTTTATTTTGCCCTCAGAATATTAAAATCATGTTGACCACGAAGGGCACAAATTTTGTACGTTCATGTGTAGTTTAGGCACACACTGTCAACCTACACACAGATCCGAACCAGTACCAGGCTAGAATTGGGAGATACCGGTAAGATAAAGCAACACATTCCATTGGCTCACCAAAACCAGTGCTGACCAATAACCATCTCTGTAGGAAATGTGTTTGTTTCCAGGTAACTGTCAGTTGTGACAATCGCTTTGATAGGCCTATTTTCATGACGTACATGTATCCTCATATAAGCTAATGACTTTTCCACTTTTCATGCGACGCAAAGCCACTGCGCCTGGAACCCTGAATACTTTCTGTGTGTTATCACAGAAAAACGTACCGTTGTGTGTGTTGTTTCCATCATCATGTCTGCCTGTAAAGACATCTTCCTCAAGAAGAAGGAAAAGTGAAGCTCATTGACAAAGGGATCAAAATTCCTGGCGATGGGAGTGGGTTGAGGCCAAAATAGGATTAGTGTTCTTGTCCAAATCTATTTGAAAATTGGCAAAACCTGGTAAGGCTGTAGTGTGATGTAATGTTAGAAATTAATTACGCTTTGTGGGGCAAAAATTCCTTAACAGCACATGGAGAATCGTTGAAATACAACAGCGAACTCTACACATGGAAAAACGAATTATCGTCTATTAGGTGCATGTATATGTGAACATAATCAACATGTATTTTGAAGCACATGACAAACCATAAGTGATGAACAAAACGATGTGGTGGGTCTTTACATGTATAACACATATCAAGTTTACAAATAATAAACAGGTTAGGCCAGGTTTTTCAGAGTATGGACTTTCACAAATGTTTCTGTTGTAAAATGTGTCCCAGAGGGGCCTAGCATTAGATTGCACCACAAATCATCTGAAGTTGAAAAATTTCCTGGGGCCTGCTTGCCGTAAAGGGCTTCGTGCTGGGCGCTCACAAATTTCAGCTTTTTTCATTTACCAAGAATCTCATCCCTGAGTAATCCAGGGTTTTTCCTCCCACCTCTAAATCTGAACATTTCTTGATTGTCTTTTTATAATTGTCACTTCCTCCTGTAATTTGTCCTGAATGTATCGTTGGATGAACAGAATTAAATAAAAGTAAAAACTCAATGAAATAAACAGAAATTAAACCAAAAGATGGCATCTCAATGTCTTCACACAGGTTGGTCAGATAAACATAATATTCTCTTTGTACATGCATGTTGTAGGCAATTTTTTTGTAAGTAAACTAACGTGCCGTTGAAGGTTGTCATGTTGCCCTCCTATGTAAAATGTAGCTGACCAGAAGTCTCATTGGAAGGTTAGGTCACTTTTCAGCTTCAGAAATGAAGAATTTCTCGAAATGAAACAAATTCAATGTTCCATGTACATTTTCTCTATGTGTTAAGTTTCTTAAAACATAGAGCTTCTTAAGTTTTCTTAAAACTTTCTTTTAGTACATAGGCAGTTTAATAGCAAGAGGTGTTCATAGTAAATTACATTACATTGGAAATTACCACTGGATACTTGTACCTGCATGTAGTTGGTGCTTGTGGTTGAGTCATTAAGAAAATTCCACTAATGTACCCGGTACCTGTACATGCATTTTTTTTCCATAAAGCAAAATGCAGTACCACCAAGAAGGGATATAGCGGTACCAATATGTTGTGATCAAGAATTTTTTTCAAACATTCCGAACAGATGTTCAGGTAATTTGTCTGCATTTGTCTACATACATGTACATGTATCTTGTAATGAATCTTGTTCCACAGTTAAAGACCTAAAGTCCATTTTCAATTTCATTGTGTATAGGCCTACCTGAACATGTACTCTCCTGCCTACATGTACTGGTACACGTTCGGTTTTTGAAATGTCTGTGTATAAAATTTGTAAACATGTACACTAGTCAGATCTGCTTTAGAAGTGCCGTCTGCCATCACTTTGCAGGTGTCTACAAATGCAGTCGCTTATAAGCTAGAAAGTACATTGTATCTTCGGGCAATTGAACCAGCCAGTGATTTCATTACTGACTGGGGGAAAACCTTGATTGACATCATCCGAGGCCATGGGATCACTTCAGTGTCTTGCAGCTGAAGTGTGAAGCTGCAAGTTGGCTTCAACCAGGGAAGCTCTGCATTATTGTCTTGGTTATTCCGTTTGTATGGGGCATGTGTGTTTTTTCAGTGCATGCGAGATGCATTTTAAATTGAGTGTTTAAGTGAATGACTAGCTGGAGGATGTGTTGGATCAGTTGTTGCTTTCAGGAAGTGAAAGGGTGTTCAGAGATGGCTTTGTGGATGCAAGTGCACAAGACCATTTTTTTTCATTTATTGTGTTTAAGTGCAAATGTTTGTGCACCGACACAATGTATATTACAAAGGTAAAAATGTTGCCACTGTGTCTGTCTGTTGGAATGACACTTCCCTGAAGCTTAAATCCAAACGAAACCTTTTTATAACTGTTACGATATCCGTTTTATTATCCCTCATGTAAAACTTTCCAAATGAAGAACCAAGAGTGAGCACTACTGTTTGTCTTTGTTAGATACTTGTGTAGCATGGGAAGCTTTTAAATTAAACATTTTTCCCCATCCCAGTTAAGTTCCTTGCAAAATGTACGGAGCAGTGCAGCCAAGAAGAGAGCGGAGAAGCTAGCATCTCGCGACCTGGACAGACACTGCCAGTCCAATAATAACCTGTCTTCAACAGTCTCCCCCTTGGACGAAAGCGGCTTCTTCAGTATGTTCTCCACCATGAACAGCAGCAAGATGGAGGATTCGCTGGAGAGGTATCCTGTCTCTAAGAAGAAAGGGTGAGTGATTTGTAGGGCAGCCACCAGTTGCGGAAGATGTCAGTTTCCAAGATTAAGTGATGCGCGGCTATGTCATTCAAACAGATGGTTACGAAATTAATATGTACCAGTAGCTCTTTGCTAAAACGGAAACCTTCCATTTAACGTATCATTCAGCAACTGACTACTTTGAGTGGGATGAACATGGAAATCTGTTAATTTTTTCTTCCTTTTAATACACAAAGTTGACAAATGGGAGCTCTCATTAAAGCCGTGTTTGCATTTGTGTTCATGTACTGGTACTCACCCCAAGGATATCATATTGTTTAGAACCATTCCTTCATCCCGTCCTGATCAGTATGCTTTTAGTGTACATGTACATGAAGATCGCTCAGCCAGCGATAGACTGTATTGACATGCATGTGTCTCCAATTGAAAGTGAGGTTAACTTTTCATTTTGGAACCTGAGAGTAAAAATATTAGCAATGAAATCGAAGTTCATTGCAAAGTAATGCCAGTTTTTCATTTTGAATAATTCAAAATTTGTGATTAATTAAATCTCAACATTTTAAGCCACATTTAAACAAAAACTGAAAGTGCGGTTCGGACCTCGAAATAGCTTGGCACCTCCCACCAGGTTGCACTGAATATGACAGATTCAGGGAGCACAATTTAAGAAAATGGCTTCTACGTGAGTAAGGTCTGTTGAATGCCCTTTACAGGGCACAAGGGAGACTGGCAGAGATTGACACCAACTGACCTAGCATTATCAATGCTAATATTACTCTGAAAATGAATGGTATTGTGTTTCCAAGTACGCCCACCATACATGCCCCTGTGCGTGTATGGATATCGTTAGTTCAAAGCAGTCTCTCCTTTGTCCAAGACAAGAAATGAATTGGGTTGATTGGCTTAAGCAAGGTTGTGCCGTTCGTGTTTTTGGTGCGCATTGCAATCATTTTTTTTTCAGGCAAGGACTAATCCAGCTTACATCTGTCTGCTGTGCATGTGATAAGAGTTGTTAATTTCATTTTCCACACCGTCGTTTCCTTTTGAGAAAGTTAAGAGAATGTCTGTGTTCTTGTAATAATGAAGGCCATTATGAAGTAGTTGTCATTTGCTACAAGACATTAGGTGACTTTGAATGTTCGCAGATTGAATGAATTGAAACCAAAATTAATTAACCCAGAAAAAAGGATGCTTAACATTACCTTATCATATAAAAAGGTTGCTGTTAGTAAGACCTGCTGAACATTCATTTTGTTGTTAATCTGACTCGACAGTCCTAGTATGGCTTGGTGATGTATTGAATGTTCTGTTCCACTGAGCTTCACCTTGTTGAATACAGCATTCAGTTTTTCACCTCATGAAATAATTCCTTCCAGTGCGCTCATAAACTCGCTTTATACATGTATGTACATGTATAATATTACCCTCTTGTGCTGTCTACTTTAAGGGTGGCAAGGCCAGTTTGGGACATTAGGAGAACATGTGTTGAGATTTTTGTTTAAAAAATAGATAATACTGAACTTATCAGAGATATGGATGCCGCTTGTTTCTGTACAGAAACCCACTTATTCACTATCATAATATCATACTCATGATGGGGCATGTCATATTAACATTGGCATCATTCATTCTCCACACAGGCTGAAGGCCAACTCTGATGTTCCCTTCAGCACAAAGCCCAGGATGGCCAGGTCTTCATCAGGCAAAGGCAGCCGCCGAAACTCCCTGGACCGGCCCGAGGACAGCCCAGACGCCGTCCCCTTTGAGTACAGCCCGTCGTCTGGTGTGACCTTCCGCCACAAGCCCACCTCAGATGTCAGCATCGTCGGCCAGGGCTATGGCAGCAACCGGACCAGCTCCCCGCCCATCCCAACACATGCCCACAAAGCACAGAATGGACAGGAGAGAAGGCGCCAACAAAAAGGTCAGTATGCCTTGTCTTGTACTTTGTGCATGTAGAATATCTCTGCTCTTCATTTATGTATTGATTCATGTGTTCGCAAAAGAAATTGTCCAGAGAGAAGTGGCAAAAGTTACCTATAAGTTCAATATAAGTGTAGATTATATACTTTTGTTGTGATGCATCAGTGCTATAGTCATGACCGTCACAAGACCCTTTGCAAGACCATTCACAAGTAACAGGGTGAACAATGACAGTTTAGTTGCAGTTCATTGGAGTAGCTTGTGACTTGAATTCAGACTGCAGATCTTGTGATTGTCTTCTGGGGTTTTGTGCACGGTAATTGATTCATCGCATGAATCATTATCCATAACCTCAGAGACAAGGCAAAATATGTAGGGTTCCGTGTATGGCTTGAAATGAATGTTTGGGAATGAAGGTTTGCTTGCTGAGCATTGTAAAAGCAAAACATTGGAATTACTGGAAAAATTTTTTGTGTTTTTCGTTCCCTTTTACTGATCAAACGCTCATAGTCCTACTCATTTTAAATCTTCATTCTTGGGTGTATTTACTCTCTACATTCAAGTTTACCAGGGAATTTGGGAACAGCTCAACTGTACCAGTAGCTCTCAAACGGACCCAGTCTGTTTCCCCAACAGAATATTCATCCGACTTAAAACTTAACCCTAACCCTCCTCAATCCTTCACCTGTTGGAGGACTGAGGAGTGTTCGGGTTAATCAGGCAATGATGGAATAAATCTTTTGTAAAAGTTGGTACATTTCTGAGGCAGAGTACTGTTGTCCGCATGTGTTTTGTGTCCCTAGTAGAGCACTCAGACTGTACACATAAAAGAATCCTATGCAATGAGAAATGGATTTCTGTTCATGTTCTGTGTACCATAGGTCCTTTGCTGTCGCCTCTTTCCATGGCTTCGTTGCACCACACAGGAGGAATAGATGTCAGTGATCAGAACAACAGTGCCAGGGAGGACTTGGCCATCGTCATCGGCAAAAGTAAGCTACATGTACTGTGACTGCCCTTCTCTCTAGCTACTAACAATGATGGCGCAATGCCATTCACAGCTGCCAGAATCTGTTAGCAGAATGTAGGCCAAAACAAGTAAAGGCTAAAGATGTTAATTGGGATGCAAAAATGTAGTACCAATTTTAATTGCACACCTGTAAGCTGGTAGGGAAACTCAGGGTGATCACAGATCCTTCCGCTGTGTAGTTGTACAAAATAATATATCTCTTACTTTGTTTGAAGATGGGTGAATATCTGTTTGTCATTTCACTAATTTTGTACTGTCAGTTTGTTTCAGTCCTAGTAACCATGGTAGCCATGGTAGCTAGTGTTGTGTAATTCAGTTGGTAACAGACTGACAGATTGGAGGGATTTTCACAGTTTATCCTGTTCTATCAGATGGTGGTAATAAGTAGTAATAAGACCTAAAGTCTGATGCTGTTTCTTTGGTTGAAGTGTCCCTCCATGCACATCAGAGACGTTTGTAAGGATCAGGAGACTTGTTGCTATGGTAACAGACTGACACCTTTGTACCCCATTTTTTTGGTAAATATATGTATATAAGAAAATGCTCTAAAGTTGGAAAATGAAAAGTATTCATACTTGAAATACATGTATATTGTGAAGATCTGGCCTTCCTCTCTGTTGATGTTGTTTTCAGCATCACTGCCTTCACAACATCACCCTGCATCAGTTGTAGTAAACAACAATTTTACATGTACATGTAAATCTAGGATGACATTTGTAGGGATATTCCCTATAATTTTGTTGTGTACATGTATACCACAACCCAGGTTCAAACCAACCAGCTCGTCTGTTTGAAACACTCGTCGCCTGTGGCTGATGCAAATCCTTTGGTTGAGGAATCTACTTTCAAATTCACCCAAAGTACAATGATTGTAAGATGCTTTGAAGTACATGTACTATGTACATGTACATTTAAATGTTTATAATTTACAGCAACATATTGTGCTTGACAGATAAAAGATCCCATTTTGCAGCATTGCAGCTGCAAATCTACATGTAATTAGGAAGAAGGGGGTATTTTAGGCCATCTGTTTTTGGACCAGCCAATTTCTGTCCAAATATTTCAAAACAACATAACAAGCCTCGTGCTCCTAATGGCTCGCTGAGTGAGGTTCATTACAGATTTAAATGGTTTTTGTTACCAACCTTTCTTCTAGTTGACATGCTTTTGAGACTTTGTCTCGCACATACCAGATGAGTAACTTCATGTACATGTATAAGAGAAATCGGAGGACACTTTTATTGTTACGTTGGGCTTATGCGCCACCGACTTCCCCAAGTATCATATGTGCATGTACTCATGTATTTAAATTGCGTTACATTTTAATTTTTTAAAAAGTTTCATGTCTGGGCTTTCAAGGGTCTGCAGCTTTTTCATTTATTTGCAGTTCCCACTTGTGATGCAAAATGATTGAATGTCCTGCCAGTCACTCAAAAATCGTTATTGTGGCTGAGGGTCACAATGTGTGAGATTGGCCATTGGTTTGTAACACCAGCTGAAATACTCGGGCATCGATGAAGGTCACCTGCCAACTTAGAGTAGTGCCTAAAGATTACTTTGTGTGGCTATAAACGACCGTTAAATGGAATGATGAATTTTTGAAGGATTTTGAAAACGGAAAAAAATGATAGTCATGCCGGCCTAGCATCATCAACGTTGAAAAATGCCCCAGCACGAAGTGGTTAAGCTGTACAAAATGGACAGTGTAATACAGAACAATACAATACACAATTCAAACTGATTAACCAGTGGCATATGCCTGGAGTTGAAAACGTTTACTTAAAACTGTGACCTAAGGGCCTCCAACTCCACTGGCAATAAAATAATTTATATCTGTTATAAAACAAAATAGATTTTTACAGCCATCTTGAAAAGAAAACTAACATTTTATTAACAAAATGATAGCTACAAGAAAAAAGTTAAAAGAGTACTATATTTGTTTAATACCAGCAAAAAATTAAACGATTACACAGTACACAATTAAGAAAAATTACATTACACGTTAAAAGAAAAATTATTAAAAAACACTCAAGAAGTTACTAACGCAGAACACAAGAACAAGAAAAAATGTAGGAACCAAATAGAAGGAACCAAAAGGGAGATAGCAAACAAGATAATCCAGGATGAATCAGCAGTAAAAAATTATGAGTAAACTGTGAAGCACCTAAAAAAAGGAATAAAAAGTAAAACTAATCATCACTAAACAAACACGCACCGTCCAATTCATGGATGTCACATCTCAGCAAGTTGGCCCACTTCTGAAATGAAAGCTCAACCACCCCAGACCTCAGTGAATCAGAGAGTTCATCCCAATATCGTGGGAAAGTGTCCACCGCAGAACAGTGAAGTCTCTGTGTACGAGCTCTGAGGTGGTTGAACCTTACATTGCCAGCATGCCGACTGTTCACCGAGATGTACTGCCTGACAATATCGCATACAATGTTTTCATTGCGTACCGTAACTAATCACTAAAAACCTTGGTCTTGAGTTAAGGGAAGACCAGTTAAGACGTTTAAGTATCATCCTGGTGGCACGATACTGCACATTTTTAATTTTATTTACAAGTATTGCAGTGTAAAGGTGCCAAACAGGTTGGCCATATGCTAAAATTGGCAGGACTATATATACATGTACAGTACAAATGTTGATTGCCAAGACTTGGAACATGACCATTCTAGACCAGTGACATTACAGGTATCCAGGACCACTCTTCACATGGTGTACGTGTACATGTATATGCCAATCACAGATATCGTTGTCTTTAAAAAAAAAATTACATCATCATATACATGTATGTTTTGAGCATTGTGCATTTTCTCATTAAGAATTGTCAAATTTTGCTTCATTTATGATTTGACATTTAGCCATTCATTGGTACAATTCTGTGAGTGCTTGCGGTTGATCTGGACACAGTGATGATTTCACCAATCCAGGTCTCAATTGGTATCATACATTGGTTCTTTGGGACCACCGTTAATTACTCATAGTCCTTGTGTTTTAAAGAACTGTCTCTCAGAAAAAAAGTTGATTCAAATAAAACATGAAAGATGCAGGTACATGTACCGGTATATTTGAAGTCTGGAGATAAAATCATGTACCGTTACCAAATTAAAAACAAAAGCTGCCATTGGACAGCTGAGATCTGAGTAAAAACTGCCGCTCTAATGAGGTACATGTACATGTACATGTACATGCATATGTACATGTACATTGTACAAGCACATGTACACGTATGCAATATGCACATGTACGTACTGGTACGTGTACATAAGATTTGGTAATACACAGCCTGAATCCACTTTAAACAGGAGAGGACTGTAAGATATACCGGTACTTGTACATGTCATGTGTAATGTCATCACAGTTACTGTTACTGTGATGAGGACAATGTTTGTGTCATGTACATGTAGCTGGTACAGACGCTTAAAATGTTCATGATTACATCACACAGGTAACAGGTCACGAAGGTTGGATAGAATTAGAAATATATGTATGTACATGTGTGCATTTACTTGTATGTGGGTATATCCATGGAGCCAGGGATGTGATAGTCCTAAAACAGCAGACAGGTGCACTCGTGTGAACTTGAGTGAGTTGGTGAGAAATATTGCTCTAAACCTCAGTCTGGTGTCGTTGCAGATGTTTTCAACGGCAAGAACACTGGCTCAGACGCCTCACCAACGTCCAACTTGAGGAAGAAGAGTGACGCCAAGGAGGGTGGGGTCAAAGGTCGCCATTACACACGGAACTCCAGTTCGCCTGAGAGCGATGGCCAAGTGGAAAACGGGGAAGAGGTTTGTGCTTGTTTTTCCAATCAATTCCCTCAGTTCCCATATTTAACAGAATAAATTTGTAAAAATTGGGAAAAACTCCAGTATGCTTTAACAACAAAAAGGCCTTGTTTGTATATTTAACTTGGTTGGCTTCGCTACAATTTTGTGAATTTTATGGTCAGTTTTGTGAAATACTGTCATGCATGCAATACAAAGTGTGCCTGATGTTACATTGAAGAGCTGCTTGGAGTAGCATACAAAATTTACAGCATGAGCTTGACTTTCTAAGCAATAGCAAGGCATGTTCAAAAGACAGGGAAATTCATCAGGGGAATGGTAAACTTTGGAATAAATTTTAGCTGACAATGCTTTGAAATTTGCCCATCTTTTCAGCTGTTATGTACTGTTTGAAGTAACCTTGTCCTTGCCTTGGACAATTTATAGGAGAAATGCCAGTAGCTGGAGTCATTGGCTGATATTGGGTTTAATTTGGAAAAGATAAAAGAGAAACAGTTTTCTCACTGATAACAATGTGTATCTGAAAAATGTAAAGCTATTTTACACTGATTTTGTGCATCTTGTTGTTCAGTGCCATAGTCAAAATTACCAAGTCATATGCATGGTCAGAAAAAATGATGCAGAAATACAGGAAACGAATGATGGCTATAATAAGAAATTCAGTAGAACTCTCCAATGTGTCAGTAATGCAGAAAAGATGCCTGTATTATTTCAAAAGCCAATTCTGGATTCCCAATTCCAATTTTGAAATAAACATAATGCTCACATATGTGCATGCGTCACATGCCGCTTCCACCAACAAAGAATTGTGTCTTGTAAAGAACACCGTGTGAGTGTGTGTTTGCGCCTGCAGTAAATTGGCGTCACCCCGGATTAGTCTGCATGAATTCTCAGCATTAGTCTACACGGGAGAGATTTCTCAGCTTTTCAGCTGATTTCAGCTTTTTTTGTTTTGGATTTCAGCTTTTTTTCCTCACTGGCTGTGTTCAAAAGTATAGGAGATTTTCACAGCTCGGTTTCTTAATACCTTTTTTCAGCTGTTTTCAGCCATTTGTATCATTGGTCAATCTCACCCCTGAATCTACAAGGGCACACATGTCCCACTTTTTGCAGGAAAACAAGGGTCAAACAGCACTAAGAATGTATTCTAATAATAGCTGTAAATGCCTGATGCACCTTTTCACACTTTTTTTCTGAGCTGGTTGTTTCTTTCGCCAGTCTCTTTTCCTCCATTGCACATTTCAGCTGTCTCCAAAACAGAAAGGATTTCGAGTGCTATATGGGTAATCCCAGAAATTAGGGGTCCAAAAGTGTGACATTTTTGTCACCTTTGTTATTTGACATGGAGATATCATCGAAATTGATTTCAAACTATCGCTATTTGTTTGGCAGGTAATTCACATTAATTCATCACTCTTGGAATTAAGAAAATGTGTTCTGAACTTACAAATCATATGTCAGATGTGACAGGAACACAAAAAAGGACCCTTAATTTCTGGAATTACCCACATTTTATAATAATATTTGGACTTGTGCCCAGAGGCAAATGGAATCATAACAAACATCCATCAGATGTCAAAACAAAGCTGCCTGGAGCAAATTAAAGTCTAGCAAGAGAAATGGGAGCTGTGGTCTCCATCCTGTTGATGCAACAGACCTCATTTATCACCAGCAGGCAAAGCTGCCAGTAGCCTTGAGCTGCAATAAATAACTACCCATATTAACTTTTATTGATTTTTAATCGTGAATTCTTAAAAAAGGGAAATGTCACCTGCGTTGATGAAGCAATATTTTTTCATTGGATTTGATAAATTGAAATTGTTAAATGTGACTTGCTGTGAAAAAATTCTTGAGTCGTGCAATTTATAGAAAGAGTGAAATACAGTAAACTCCGACTAAGTCGGCATAGCGTAGCTCAACATATCTAAGTCAGCCTTTTGACAAAAGTCCTGATCGTCTGTAATGCATTTCCATTGAAAATTTCATTTCTAAGTCTGGCATTTATAAGTCGTCATTTCGTATAAGTCAGCATGTTTTTCTCGGTCCCTTTTCCACAAAACCACAAAAATTTCTTTGTGTAAGTCAGCATAAAAAAAAATAGTGCTTCAGTATCAGTTTCCTTGCTGTGGTTGCCAAGAAGTGTCAGTTGGCAAGTCCCACACTGCTTGACTGATGTCTGTTTATTAGCAGCGCAGGCCGTGGTTGATAATCAGCCAGCATGAGTACATCAATACCAGTAACCCCTCTGGTGCTACATGTACATGCATGCGCTCTGTCCATTTTGGGGGTCGCCTTATTGAACAAACTTAACCAATGCGTGTACAGATGAGTGTATGTTTTCTGTATCATAACTGTATCACGTACATGTACGTACTGCACTGTCAAGTCATGATGTGATATGCAAGTGGCTTTGTTGTCCTTGTTTCATCCTTAGGGGCACATAATCAATTATCGAATTTGCAGCCCGTGAGGATAATAATCGAGAATGAATTTGCTGGGATCGACCGTGGAGGTAGAAATAAACCAGGGTAAATCAAGGTCATTGAATTAGCGCAAGGAATCATAATGTACATGTACATTGGCAAAACATGTACATGTACATATGTACGTGTAAGTCAGCAAAATGATGACTTACAGCACAAGTCGGCATTTGCATAAGTCGTCATAATTTCTTGAGTCCCGAGAGTGCCGACTTAGCCGGAGTTCATTGTATGTAGACAAGGCTATCGATACCAGCCCATGTACATATCCAGTGTATGTTACACCTGAGCAGCACATGTACATCTCTTTGCTTTATAAAATACATATATGTACTACATGTATGTATTTTATAAAGCAAAGAGATGTGAAAAGGTAATTTTCATTACTTTTACTTTTGGTGTTTCAAGAGGAGATTAACAGTGTTAGTCAGCTGTTATGTTTATTACGAAAGTGACGAGTTTATTTCATAAACTGCCAAATAAATGCCAGAAAATATGGATTTTGAAGACGGTCCTCAAGCATTTTTTTTTTTTGATGTTGTAGGTTTTTTTCTTTTTTGGGGGGAGGGGCATTCTCAACTTTGAACATGTTGAATGCTTCATGGATAACATAGCTTGGTGTAAGTTTTTTGGTTAAAAGGGACCCAACTTAAGCTTTATTGAAATACATTCTAAAGTAACAAGCATTTATAAAGGAATAATGACATAAACATAGAACTTTTCATACTTGTATTTTCTTCTGGTAATGTCATGGAATCATGCAGGAGTTTAATAATCACATTGAGCAATCTTATTTCCCCTCTTGACAGGATGCATATAACATAGCCATGTCCAGAGCACTCCAGGACAAGATGGTGGAGAGGCAGCTGGCACAGAAGAAGGAATTGGAGCAGCGCCAAGCCGAGGTACAGGCCTTACGGGAGAAAGCCCAGCAGGAGAGGGAGGAGCGACGTCGGACCATGGAGGCAGAGCGCCGCCAGGCCATGGAGGAGGAGCGTGAGGCCCAGCGGAAGGCGGCGGAAGAGGAGCGAGAGGCCAAGAGGCGGGCCCTGGAGGCGGAGAGGGAAGAGAGGCGGCGCATACTTGAGGAGAAGGCCAAGAGGAGGAAAGAGGCCGAGGAGAAGAGGGAGGCACGCAACCGGGCCTTGGAGGAGGAACGTAAGGAGGCCTATCGCAAGGCTAAGGAAGAGGAAAGAGAAAGAGCAAGGCAGAGGGCTGAACAGAGACAGCGGGATAAGTTGAGACATCTGGAGATGGAAAATAACACAGCAGCAGGTATAACAGGTAAGAATATCAGCATTCTGACTCTACTAGAAACCAACCTTACAGCAATAGCACACAACAGTTATGAAAGTAAGTTGTCTTGGCAGGTCGAAGAAAGTATCCCAATGTCAAAGTTGTCTCATGTCTGACGAACCAGTGAATCGACTGTTCTGGAGATTTTCAGATTTTACCTCACGAACTAATGAATAGGTTTGACAGCAGTATTTAAAGTATTGCTTTTAGAGCCAAAAATACAGATCAGGAAATGATTTCAAATACCAATTCATATCTTTTATACACAGAGATGAAAAGAGGGTTGAATTGAATATCGAAAACGAGCATGTAATAACAGCTTAACTGAAACTGTATTTTTCTCAAAAACAGTGATATTTCATATTTGTCGGTTTGTCAGATATGCGACGAATTATATCATGGAGTTGGAGTCATCCAGTCACCCTGAGATCTTGAATTGACATAAGGGACTACTGTACCTCCCACTGACTCCAACCCTGCAGTTGGGTTGCTTCCAACTACCCAGTGTAACAAGGTCCCACAGATTTGTCCAATATTCCATTTGTCAAGATCCTGTATTTGATTGTAAATTTTAATGTTTTGTTGGCCTTGACCAGACCTACAAATATCAGGTTCCAACCCAGCCAACCCCACAACAAGCCCAGCTGAAGTGGACCTAGCTGCAGATATGGAGACAGGGACTGAAGCCCCTCACAGCCCCACCAAGGTAGTGGGAAAGCCTCCAGTGGCCGGCATCACACCCAAGAAGAAGAAAGCCAAATCGTAAGACCTCTTCATTGTCATGGTCCTTTGGCATTTTGTACA